CGTCTTTGCCCGTGCTTCTTTGAGTTTTTATTCTCTAGGCTTGTGGCACGACTCCCCAGTGACCCATTAGCTATAAACACAGATATGGATCCTCGCATGGTCACATCACCATGCCCTAAACTGTCGCTTTCTGTTGACTACATTCAATAGCTGAATTTTGTGGGTAAATTTCTGCCATAAAACTCATATCCTGGGAGATACCACGGATCTCTCAGGTGGCAATTGGCACTCTTTAAAGATTTTACCAGTACTAAGAGAAAAAGTGGGCACTCGGACAGTGAGCTAGCTCAGTGGGTGTCACTGGGGTGTTGGACGCCCATTAGAGGCTTGGATCTTTCTATACACGTTTGGGAGATAAAATAGCCATTGAATTTATACAGTAAGACCCTCTTCTGGTCCCAGAGAATTTTGTGCGGTGGGGTAGAAGTGTTACAGGTACACCTGTGTCCCCAGTCTTGGCGCTGTCCGAGGGGTTAGTGCTTTGGCTATGACTGATCTGCATCACAGGCGGACTTACAACATAGTCCCTAGCCTCCAAGGCGTGTGTGGGCGCCCCTAGAATCCTCTTCATGAGCTCTTTGTGATAACACAGAGACTGAGTCTGCCGACCATCAGCAAGAGAACAGGATAAGATAAAAAAAAAAAGGAAAACCACACATTCACAACATGACATGCAACAGTGCACATCCAAAATGTCTTGCTTTGCTTTGGTGGTTTTTCCTAAGATTAACTCTAAACTATGAGGGAAGTCATCTAGTTTTAGCTAGACAACTGCTTTGCACAGGCTCAAAAGGAAATCCTCATTTAGGACAATGGGATTATCCTTTGTAGAGTCTAATCAGGACATGTTTGACCTATCTGTCTGTCTGTCTGTCTGTCCATCCATCTCTCCATCCATCTGTGTATCCATGAATCAGTCTCTCTCTCCCATACCCCTCTGGTTTTCCCATCACACTGGCCTCAAACTCCCTGTGTAGGGGAAGATAACCTTGACCTCCTAATCCTCCAGGTCTCACCTCCCCGGGTGTAGGATCACAGGCGTGTGCTTTTACACAGAGTCCTAAGGACACACTCTCTACTCTAATCTTTATTTGACTTGTGTAAAGATGGAACAGTGACGATCTGGCAGTGTAAACTAAATCCTCTGTAAATATCACAAAACTATTTATCTTGTTTAATTACTTAAAAGTAAACTAAGCTATGCTAAGAAATGTTTGCACACTGACCCAGATGGTAATGGTGCAAACCTGTAGCCCCAGCACTCAGGAGGCAGGGGAGGGCAAATCTCTGTGAGTTCAAGGCTAGACTGGTCTACATCGTGAGTTCATGGACAGCCAAAGTTACACAGTGAGACCCTGTCTCAGGAAAAAAAAAAAAAAAAGTAAAGAAAAAGAAATGTTTGCATATAATTTCCACACTCTGGTCATTAAACCAGATACTTAGAATTCAAATCTGAAGGCTATGAAATGTGATAAATTAAGACACACTACAGGGTACTGGAGAGATGGCTCAGTGGTTAGGAGCACAAGCTGCTGTTGCAGAGTATATGGGTTTGATTCCCAGCACCCACGTGGTGACTCACAACCATTGGTAACTCCAGACCCGGGGGATCCAATGCCTTCTTCTGAACTCAGGGGACAGTAGACACATATGTGGTATAGACATGGCTGTAGGGAACACTCACACAGATAAAACATAAAATGAAAAAAATCTGAATAGAATGAAACACACAGCCACAGTCGGTTATTCTCCAAGGGGAAAGCGAAATGAGAGAGAGCGCCCCCTATCTGTGGCCAACTGCACCCACACCTCCTGCACTGAAGCTGCTCAACCCAGTCTAGTTCCCCAGATGTTGGGTTTAGGATGTTTTCTTTTCAAAGGCCTGCTATTCCCCTCTTCCTCCCTCCCTCCCTCCCCTTTTCCCCCCCCCCCCCCAGTTTCCTTTCCCCCACCACTCCTTGAAAGAAGAAGCATCAGATCTGACCCAACCGCTCCTCCCAAATGACAGCAGCCCATGGCGCTCTGTGTCCCTCACTGCCTCAGAACCAGCTTGCCTGTCATTGGAGAATGGACTTACCTTTCAGGAAAGTTTCCATCAAAGAAATTTGCTGAAATCAAAAAATTTTTTAAACCATTTTTTCTTGTACTAATCGAACACAGACATTCTTTGGCCTTTGCCAATACACTCTGGGGATACCAGAACACAGACGCAGAAACCATTGATGACCAGGAGACTGTGGGATGTGGTGTCATGGACCATACATGCAAACGGATGGTAACTGAAGACACTCAGCACATCTCCTCCCGTGTCTGACAGACAGATGCAGATGTTTATAAACACGAGTGATCATGCGGTATTGTGATGTAACCGACTCTGAGCCTGCCTCACCCTGGAAATTTCTCTGATGAAGAGTGAAGTTCTAAAGGCCAGCATAATTGGGAAGCTGCCAGTTTCTCAGCCAGTCCCAGCAACAGAGGCCAGCGTGATCCACTGTCCACTTCTGAAGCTCCTCTGCCTGCTGACAGGGGCTGTCCTGACAGCTCAAGGAAATTAAATTTCTGATTTAATTAAAAATGATTATATTTATTTATTCAGTGTGTGTGTGTGTGCTTGCCCGCGCTAAGGTGTGCATGTGGAGGTCAGAGGACAGCTTGCAAGAGTCAGCTCTCTCCTTCCACCTTTAGGTCCCAGAGACGAAACTTACATTGCTGGGCTTGATCACAAGAGCCTTTTTCCCTGAACCACCTCACCAGCCCCAAATTTCTGATTTCTAACTTGACCTACTAAAAGCAAAACAGTTCTCTCAGGTGTACCCTTCCTTCCTTCACCGTGATTTTTTGACACTACTCTTCCTTTCATATACTCTTACTGATAGATAGATTGATTGATTGATGACTGACTGACTGACTGACCGATTGCATGTGGAGGGCAGTGGGCAGCTTTGGAGAGTTGGCTCTCTCCTTTCACTGTGTGTCCTAGGAATTGAACTCAGGTGGTCAGGCTTTGCTCAAGCACTTTTACCTACTGAGCCGTTTCCATGGCCCATTCTTTTATTTTTGAGATATGATCTTGTTTAGCCCAGGCTGGCCTTAAGACTCACTGTGAACCCAGTGAGGACCTTTGACCTTCTGATCTTCACAGGCTTGCACCAGCGAATGTTTTGTGCTGGGCTGGGGATGATGCTAAGCAAGTCCTCTGTCAGACAAGGTGCATTCCAGGCTCCTTCCTTCCTTCCTTCCTTCCTTCCTTCCTTCCTTCCTTCCTTCC